GATAGATAGATAGATAGATAGATAGATAGATAGATAGATAGATAGATAGATAGATAGATAGATAGATAGATAGATAGATAGATAGATAGATAGATAGATAGATAGATAGATAGATAGATAGATAGATAGATAGATAGATAGATAGATAGAAATAATATCTAATAATATAACCATGATGCAGCTCCTACTCTGTCTAAACTATTTATCTACATTTATCTGAATACACCATGTCAATTCTGATATTTGTTTTTGGTTTGGAACAGAGAAAACAAACAGAACAAAACCTGTTTTTGGTTCCTTGACCAGGGGAATAAAAAATAAATAAATCAGGTTATAGTTTTTTGTCTTTGATTTTGAAACAAAGAACAGATGACTGGTTTAAAAAAGTGTAGATATATTCAACTCGACACCTCAAGTAAATTTCCCAACATACGACGAAGTCATAGAAAAATATATAAAATAAAAAATTCAATAAAAATAACTAAGCTAAGTTAGTTTAAGTTCAGGTAGTAAAGTCAGAGTGAGTCAGGGTTGGTCCTGTATCTCCGTTCTTCAGTCTCTGAGATAAAAGGCCAATAAAAAACCCTTTTTATTGATTATTTCTTTATCATTTATTTCCTTTTACATCCCTATTATATAAGTCATTTGTTTTACTGCTATGTATAATTATCTGCAGTATTTATTATGGAGTTACCATAGGTTTTTGGAACCAATTCTAGGAATTTCAGTGTGTTCTGATGGAAGATTTGAACCGAGATATGAATATTTAAACATAGAAGTCGGTCCTGGAACCAGTTAAATTCGTATGTACTTTAATTTACAGAGTGGAGTGGGTCGGGGGCCTTTTGGGGGGGGGGGGGGACCCGGGACAAACTCACCGATCATCTCTCCCTGGTCATGAATCATAACGGCCAAGTCCTTAAAGATCTGGTTCACGTCCATGATGTCGGACTGGTGTAAACAAAGCAACAAACAACAAACTTAAATCCGTCAGCGGGCTTTAACGAGGCAGGCTGTGATAGGAGCACAGGGCAAAGGTCAAAGGTCACCTCCAGCTGCCTGATGTTGGTCTCCCTCTCCTTTATCAGCTCCAGGTCCTCCTCAGTGATGGCCGCCTCCTCCGTCTGGACGCTGGTCTGACCCCAGTCGTCTTGGCTTCACACGGAAAGGTCAGAAAACAGGAGAGAAGCATCAGAAAACGCGTTTTTCACATCATTTACACACCAACTACCGACCGAATACGAGTTTTCATTCGTTTAAAAACTAATTATACTAGTAAATACATCGGTTTTAGAGTTGTTTTCACTTTAAATCTTGAATTAATAACAATATTGGTATTGGTAATTGGTTTGTAGCTTGAAATTAATTACGAGGATTTGAATGAGAACCAAAGAGTACAGAAAGGACAGAAAACAGGAAAGAAGCATCAGAAAACGCGTTTTCCACATCATTCACACACCAACTACCGACTGTTTACGAGTCTATACTAATTATACTAATAAAAACATCTGGTTTTTGAGTTGTTTTCACTTCAAATCTTGAATTAATAACAAATATTTGGTGGGCTAAGATTCCTGTTTCGTTTTTTTATTATATAAATAAACCAAAAGTTGTAAAACTATCGACTGGTTCTTTCTCTACTCGGAAGATTCCTCTTACTGGAATGTTTGATTTAACCTCCTAAATTTAGCTGTTCGTTTTGGTAATTGTTTTGCCGCTTGAAATTAATTACGAGGATTTTAATGAGAACCAAAGAGTACAGAAAGGACAGAAAACAGGAAAGTAGCATCAGAAAACGCATTTTTCACATCATTCACACACCAACTACCGACCGAATACGAGTTTTCATTCGTTTAAAAACTAATTATACTAATAAATACATCGGTTTTAGAGTTGTTTTCACTTTAAATCTTGAATTAATAACAATATTGGTATTGGTAATTAGTTTGCAGCTTGAAATTAATTACGAGGATTTTAATGAGAACCAAAGAGTACAGAAAGGACAGAAAACAGCAAAGAAGCATCAGAAAACGCATTTTCCACATCATTCACACACCAACTACCGACTGTATACGAGTTTTCATTCGTTTAAAAACTAATTATACTAATAAATACATCGGTTTTAGAGTTGTTTTCACTTTAAATCTTGAATTAATAACAAATATTTGGTGGGCTTAGCTTCCTGTTTCGTTATTTTATTATATAAATAAACCAAAAGTAGTAAAACTATCGACTGGTTCTTTCTCTAATCGGAAGATTCCTCTTACTGGAATGTTTGATTTAACCTCCTAAATTCAGCTGTTCGTTTTGGTAATTGGTTTGTAGCTTGAAATTAATTACGAGGATTTTAATGAGAACCAAAGAGTACAGAAAGGACAGAAAACAGGAAAGAAGCATCAGAAAACGCGTTTTCCACATCATTCACACACCAACTACCGACTCTATACGAGTTTTCATTCGTTTAAAAACTAATTATACTAATAAATACATCGGTTTTAGAGTTGTTTTCACTTTAAATCTTGAATTAATAACAA